AAAAGTGGCAAAAGGCTTGCTAGAATCCCAAAGTCTCTAAAGGCTAGATAAATACTTAAAAGATTAAAAAATTAGCTGGCAGCTAAAAGTATTTAAAAGACTAGCTGGAAACAATAAGTAGCCATGAACTGACTAAAACCTAAAAGTAGCAAAAGACCAGCGAGAAGTTCTCAGAAGCAGAACAGTAGCTAAAAGCATCAAAATGGTTGCTAAAAGTTATTAGTAGCAGACTGATAGCAAAAAGCTAACAAGTAGCAAAAGCAGACGATGCAGCTGTATGCTGAAGATTTTAAAGAGAAAAGTTTTAGAAGTATTGAAGAGGTAAATATTTAAAATACTGTAGTTTAAAAGGACAACAAAAATCAGAGCACCCATCTCCTCGATGAGCTGAACATCTTGATATACGAACAGCTAAAATCTCAGAGTACGCAGAAACAGTCCGATTGGAAGAATAAAAAACAAGACGACGACGTGAATGCTGACTCAGCACTCCTGCTACCCAGGACTGAATCGCACCTTGTCGAACTCGTCGATGCAGACCACTCCCCCGTCAGCCAGCACCATGGCCCCGCCCTCCATGATGAACCCACGGGTGGTGGGGTCCCTCAGCACCGAGGCGGTGAGCCCCGCTGCGCTGCTGCCTTTACCCGACGTATAAACCTGCGGGCCACAGAGACACGGCTGAGCATCACAGCACTTCACTCCGCGGATTACAGATCCGCCCCGGAGGGTGAGAAATTACCCCGATGGGCGAGCATCTCTCCACGAACTTGAGAAGCTGAGACTTGGCTGTTCCGGGGTCTCCGAGCATCAGCAGGTTGATGTCGCCCCTGCGAGTGAGGCCGTCGGGCAGCCTGAAGACACAGAAACAAACGCCGCTTGAACGAGAGGACGCCTCGGTTACAGACGAGCTCAGGATCGATTCTGCAGGGTGACCAAATCGTTACACCTCCACCACCGTGTTGACGGCTGATATGGGGTTTGTGCTGATATGCTACGTTTAGTTGCTGTGCATTATGGGTAAACTTCTCTACTTTGGTCTCGTCTGTCTTCTGGGTCAGTGAGCCGTGCTGCCACGTTCTTTTCTTTCTCCTGAGAGCCCGTCCAAACACACCAGACTTTCCATTTTTCTGGCCGTCGTGTTCCGACACCTTCACAAACGAGCAGATCTGAAAGGCAGCCGCACCTCTTCCTCGAGCCTCCGAACAGCAAACAGGTGATGGCCTTCTTCAGGTCGTCGCTGCCGTAGATGGACGGAGCGATGGAGCGCGCCAGAGACTCGTAGACGTTCGGCGAAGCGGCGAGAGCTCTCAGCTCCTCTTCTTCCTGTGGAGACACCGACCCAGTGGCACCGCGGCCTGCAGGGGACAGAGCACGGACTGAAGCTGCATTCTAAAGGCAAACAAACAAACAAACAAACAAACAAACGCAAGTCGAAACCCACCTGCTCCCTCTGTGTCCACCTGGATGCCGACCACTCGCAGGTAGGACACCCGGATCCCGACGCCGACACCTTTCTCTCTGCCTTTGGCCTTGGCAGCAGCCACTTTCTTGATCGAGTAGATGCCCATGATGGTCACCCTGTTGCCGGGGACAACACGGTCGCACAGGTACCTGGAAGAAGAGGAGATCAGTTCACACCGCCCGCCCTGGACTGAGCGTCTCCATCAGAGACGACTCCTCTACCTGTCGCAGTAAAGCTGCAGGTGGCGGGGCATCTCTCCGTGAGGCACAGCGTCCGGAGACTCCTGCAGACGGAGCGTCTGGAAGTCGACGCAAACGCAGCGGTCCGGGATGATGAAGTACGGGTCCACGGGGCACTTCACCCTCACGGCATTCTCGCTGAGGGAGGACAGCTCGTTAGAGTTCACGCGGCTCGGTGCTGAAACAAACCGTCCTTCCGGTCACGCCCACCTGTTGCACTTGCGGGGCAGAGCGTAACCCTGCAGGCCCGGGGGCAGGGGGATGTTGTTGATGACGGCGCGGCAGCCGCGACACTGCAGACACACCTTGGTGGCCTTCGCCTTGACCCCCGTGGCCGAGATGATGATGCCGTGCACCTTCACCAGACGGGACACCTGCTCCGACTGCACGAGAGGAAAATTAGATGAGAAATGATGAAGTCCTAGCCGTTTTTGGTCGTCCGTTGATGTGACAGAAAAGATCTTGAGTGCTCAGAGCATGTGTCGAGGATGAATCTGAGCTACTTCATTAAAAAGCATCTAGAAAACTGACCGAGGCGCAGCGTTTATTGTGTTGGCTAATGTTTATTTATGGCAGCCATCTTGAATTGAGACGGCTTCCAAAATCAGTCGCTTATAGATGCTGACCCATAACTTACAGCGAGTTTCGTTAACATTTGTTCCGTGGTTCATGACGTAATTTACAAACATGTCTACACAAACAACGGTATTTTCCTTTAGACTTTTTGCGGGCGATAAAAACCAAAAGAGGCACCTTGAGGCTGCGAATGGAAGCATGGTGAGCGTCGCTCTTCAGCATGACCTGGATGTCCTGCACAGTCTCCTCCCCGACAGGTCGAGGACGAGTCACCTCGTCGGCCACCTCTTTAGCAGCTTCTTCCAGCTTTATTTTAAAACAAACAAATAAATTAAGAGGAAAGGAGCGAATGCTGAACGAACAATGACTCAACAAATGGGAGGCTCACCAGCGGCAGGTTGTCAGTAGGCAGTTTGTAAAGACAGTCGGACAAATCTTCATCGAAGCTGGCCAGGTCCTCCAACTCCACCTCCACCCAGTACTCCCCCAGGGTGTAATGTCGCTTCAGCTCATCCCTGGAATAAAAACAGCAATGGGTCACGGTGTGGAGAAAAAGACCAACACTCATAGTAAACTACAAGATCTCACACAAGCAGATAAACGACTTCTCATTGGTGTTTGTGTACAAGCCGAGTCAGCATTACACAGATTTTTAATTTACTGTAAGCTTTTTTTTTTTAATAACTCAACTCTTTGTGCCATTTCAGCTGTTCATACATCAAAACATGTTCGTATGTTACATGTTCACAAACAGGTCTCTCTTGTAAACGAGTCCTCGTGGCTCAATGAGACTAACCTGTTGAAATAAAGGTTGAACTGGAAAAAAAGTTGAATATAACAAACGTCAGATCATTCAGGAAGTGCGTCCTGAGACGTTTGGTTTACTAACTTTACTTTAAAAATATTTTATCCACATAAATACTTAAAAAAAAATCTTAATTCCTTAGAAAATCTTGTCTTTGAAGTCTGCTCCAGCATACCTGCTTTATTATAATCTTCTTATGCTACATTTAGCTTCTAGCTAGCCTTTTACTACATCAAGCTTTTAGCCTGATCAAACTTTAGCTAACTTTTGCTTTAGCTTCCAGCTAGCCTTAAGCTAAGTTTAGCTTCCCGCTAGCCTTAAGCTAAGTTTAGCTTCCCGCTAGCCTTAAGCTATGTTTAGCTTCCCGCTAGCCTTAAGCTATGTTTAGCTTCCCGCTAGCCTTAAGCTAAGTTTAGCTTCCCGCTAGCCTTAAGCTAAGTTTAGCTTCCCGCTAGCCTTAAGTTAAGTTTAGCTTCCCGCTAGCCTTAAGTTAAGTTTAGCTTCCCGCTAGCCTTAAGCCATGTTTAGCTTCCAGCTAGCCTTAAGCCATGTTTAGCTTCCCGCTAGCCTTAAGCCATGTTTAGCTTCCAGCTAGCCTTAAGCCATGTTTAGCTTCTAGCTAGCCTTAAGCCATGTTTAGCTTCTAGCTAGCCTTAAACTATGTTTTGCTTCTAACTATAATTTTGGCTACATCTAGTTTTTAGTTAGCCTTAAAATAATTTTAGTTAACTTTTAGCATTATTTAGCTTCTAGCCAGCTGTATGCAACTTTTAGCTGGACTTTTGCTTAATTTAGTTGCATTTGTGTACCTTTTGGCTTTTTACAAGGTATTTGCAACTCTCAGCTATCTTTTTGTTTCATTTATGTTAAAGTTAGCCTTTCCTTACTTTTAGTTTCCAGTTACCT